TTTTTTAGATGCACCTTACTTAGATGTATCTAAAAAGTAAAAAATTATGAAAAAATATTTTAAAAATTAATAGATACATAAAAATATAAAAAATATATTGAATTCTCGTATTTGTTTTTGTATTTTTGATATTTAGTGAATTTTTAAAATATTTTTTTTCACAAAAATTATATTTTTTATGTGTATTTATGTTAAATGTGTCTAAAAATTAAAAAATGGTTTACAATATTAAAAATATCCAGTAAAAAAATAAAAAAAATAAAAAATAAGAAATAGAATTTTCTGAAAAATGTTTTTGAAGAAACTAAAAACAAGCAAAATTATCAAATATATCAATATTAAAAAGTCATTTAAAAATAGAAAATTTAAAATATATCAAACAAGCTAGTTTTTGTAACATTAGTTTGTACATTTATTTTTAATCATTAAACTAATGTTTTTAACTAACTTCGAGAAGATGTTTTAACAAACTTATTATGTGTGTTAAAATATGGTCACACAACCAATGTGAATCTCACTCCAAGATTTAGGGAACAAAGCTAAAGAGCTCGTACACTAGATAGGTCCAATACCTGCACATTATAAACAGAATATCTAAACCGATGGCTATCCACCGAGAGGGCATTCTGACGATCTGACCAATAAATCGATATCTCACAAGATAATCTGACAGAGTAAAAACTCTCAAGTAAAAATATACTTTTGATCTATAGGAGTATCTGCCTTATATAACAAACTGTGCTCTCTATGTCTTAGAAGACTCACTTCTCACTACTCTTATCCCTTTCAAAAATAACACTTATTTTGGACTCCTCTCTCCTAGTTGGAATGGGATTAACTCTCTCAAGAGTCCAAACTTATCCAAACAAGGAGTTTGTCATCATCTATGTCTCAAGTCCCTCAATCGAATATCTCGAGTTCTGGTGTAATCTAATCATACCTCGACCAAACACTGCCATCCATATAGCACATCGGCTAACAACCAAGGGGAAATTCTACTTCCATACATCAAATGTTCTTTGTGTACATTGTTTCTCAAAACACGCACTTAATGAATTTGAAATCTCATTTTTTAACTTAATACACAACTTATTTTACCAAAAATGCCCTCATCTCCTTTATTCTTCACACCACCAGTACCACCAGTCTCTGCCACCTCCAGCCATCCCAACCGCCACCTCCGGTTGCTGTCTTCCTCTACCATCGCAGCCCAATCTCTACCGCCAACGACCGATAACAGTCCTAACGGCAAGGAGGGAGATAACTTAGGCAATGTGAACCCGAAAGAAAATAAAAATCCTAATTTACAATTGTCGATAGAGATTGAAGAACACTGTTGGTTTTGGTTCCAATTGCCAAAGACTTGATTGCATATTCCAACTTTGAAATCATAGTGCAATTACAAGCCATTGAAGCATTGCAGAGTAAGCATCATCATATATAATATAGGCATTTAATAAGAAATGTGATTTTCTCAACAACCACATCAACAACACCCTTTAATATCCCAATAACTTCAAGGGTCAATAAGCTTATTTTCTCTCAAATATGGATTATTGATTCTTTTTACTTTTGACACTAATTCTCATCCAGTGCAGACATGTTATGATTGCTTCGTTCGCTTCCAATTAATGTTGAATATGATTCTTTATCAAACAATTATTGCATTTATCATAACAATTATTGTTTCCTCTTCAACCAAATCAGATGCTTAATGCGTTCAAACCTATGGAACCAGCCAAACGAATTAGAATCGCGTCTCATATCCCTTCAGGTTCTCTAATGGGCGATAACTTAGGGTTCCCATTGGAAAGATGAGGGTATTTCGATATTTTTATTTTAAGACAAAAATATAATATAAAAAAGATTTATTAAGTATGTAGACAGAGCTAATTTGATGTGTAGAAATAGAATTTCCCATTGTTTTTGGGTGCCTCTATTTATACACCACCTTTCATCTCAAGACACACCATTAATTAGTTTATTTTTTATTACAATATTAACCTAATGTAAAATGACTACAAAGGACTATGATACACGCCTTATGTAAAATTACCATAAAGGACAATAATGAATACAATACACACTTCTCTTTTGAAACGTTATTTATGCATCTTCTCTATCAAGAACCCAAAAACCCTGAAACAAAAACCAAAAACCCTTATGATGTGTTTGGTTGGGGGATTTGAGGAGGAATTTGGAAGGGAAAATGAAAAAGATAAGTGAAATGTGAATAAAACATACATATATTTCACCTAGTTTCACACATATTTTTCCTTTCCCTTTCCCTTTCCAAATCTCTCCCCAAATCCTCCAACTAAACACAGCATTAAAATCAAGGCGGAGACACGTTGAGACGAGGAGGTTCACGTGCCACCCCTCCTCAATTTTTGAAAATTATATTTTTACCTCTATTTAAAAAGTAATTAATTTTTAAAATTCAAAATATGTCATTATTTTTTGTATCTCACATTCTATTTTTATTTTTTTATTTTTGACAAAATCTTTGCAAAACCAACCGTTTTAATCTATTAATCAAAATTCTTATATTTTCATTATGAGGTTAAAGGTTCAAATATCTCAATCTAGTTATTCATTGTATTTTTTATGTCATTTATTTATGATTTTTCTCTCTTATTTTGAAAATATTTATTTATATTAGTTATATTGTAACGTCTCAACCCTTCACATGTCATTATTACATTTTCTAAACAAGTATACTTGGTTGTAAAAAGATCAACCACTTTTCTTATTGTCCGTTTTGGGCCATACTTGTACGGATTTGATTTTCCCAATGGGTCACCCATCCCACAACTACTTCAGCCTAAGCACACTTAACTGAGGAGTTCTGCTAAGGATTTCATTGCCCGGGAAAAGGCCTCAATGCTATGTAAAGGTTCAGGTTTTTACTTTTATAGTCCATGAACTCCCCATCCATTCCCAATGTTGGACACAGGGACCTTACAATCCACCCTCCTTAGAGTTGCACGTCCCCGTGCAGTAGCCTGCCAGCTTGCAAGCCCATCCACATGCACCGAGAGACACTAGGGGCCCACACTCGGTACTCCAAAGAGTCGGTTCTGGTACCATTTGTAACATCTCAACCCTTCATATGTCATCAATATTATCTGCTTTGGGCCATACCAGCATGGATTTGTTCTTTCCAGTAAGTCACCCATCTCAGAACTACTCAAGCCTAAGCATGCTTAACTAGGGAGTTCTGCTAGGGATTTCACCACCTAGGAAAACGCATCAATGCTATGTAAGGGTCTAAATTTTTACTTTTATAGCCTAGGAACTCCCCATCCATTCTTGATGTGGGACACAAGGACCTTACATGTATGGTGTATTGATTTTCATTATGATTATAATTCATTAGTTTCATTATAACATGATTCATTAATTAAAAATAAAATACAAATTCCTATAATTTGTCCCTCTAATAAATATTTAAGTTTGCTAAAATTTTTCTTTTAAATGTTATATTATTTCTCTCTTTTCTCTCATGTCTTTCTCTTCCACTCTCTTTTTTTTTTGGAGGGGAGGGTGTATTTTAGTGTAATTTTGTCAGTCCCATTTTTAATAATAGTATGTGATCGCATATTAATTTATAATGATCATCATGTTCACAAAATTGAAACAGAAAATCATATTAATAATAAAAAAACAATCAAAAATCAAAAAAAAAATAAAGCAAAAAAACTAACTACTTGAGCATAACTTTAAAATTTTAAGGGTAAATTACAAATACACCCCTTGAGGTTTGATTAAAATACGAATCGCATCATGTGCTTTTGGAAATTACATTCCACCTCCTGAGGTTTTTAATTTCATAACAAATCGCCCTTTTTATTAATAAATCATCAAGCCAATTAACAGTTTTTAATGATGTTAGAAATATGTTTCAATCAACAATTTAGGTAATTTTATTATTGTATATGAGAGCAATTATGAATTTCATTTTTTTAGTTAATTCTGTTAAATAAAAAATACTAACAATGAGGTATTTGTAATTTTTCAAACCACATGGGGGCAATCTGTACTTTAAGCAAACCTCAGGAGGTGTATTTGTAATTTATCCAAATTTTAAATATGAAATTATGTTCATTTTTAGTTGTTTTATCTTCAATTAAAAATCAAAATTATTTGCATTGTGGTAAAGATTGATACAGTGACGGTAGATGAAAGTATTAGAGGAAGGGACAGACCTAAATTAACGTGGGCTAGTGTAGTAAATAGAGATATAAATCTTTTTAATTTGGCTAACGAAATGGTCTTGAATAAAGTAGAGTTGTGAAGAATGATTCATATAGTCGACCTCATTTGATGGGATTTAAGACTTGGTTTGGTTTGTGGTAGATCATTATGATCTGAACTTAATGTTACTCCTCCTAAGTCGAAATCCTGGCTCTGCCACTGCTTAGGATTGCATTTGATTTATAAATTTAGAAAGAGATTTAAAAAAATATAGATATAATATAATTATATTTTACATACATTTCACTTACTTTTTTCTTTTTATTTTTTAAATCTCTTTATAAATTCATAAACTAAAGAAAAATACTTCAGAGCTCGAATTCTCCGTGGCTCGATTGGCCCAAATCCAAAACGACATCATTTTGATTTTTTTTTTCCACTTTTATATCTGAAACAGAAACAGAGGGAGGAAGGAAAAGATAAAGAGAGAAAGAAGAGAGAAGGAAGGGGGAAGGAAGAAGGAAGAGAGAAGAGGGAGGGGAGACCATCACCGGCGCCCTCCATCCTCTGTATGTTTACACAGCTCTGTGTATACACAGATCTGTATCTATCTCTCTCTTTGTGTATCTCTCTCTCTCGTTCTCTATATCTCTCTCTCTCTGTGAAGTCTCTGTGGTGATGATGATGATGTGTTGGTTGTTGATGCTAATGATGATGTGGTGTTGATGATGATGTGTTGGTTGTTGATGATCTCTCATGTTCTTTCTTCTTCTTCTTTTTTTCTTTCTTCTTCTTCTTCTATGAGTCATGGAAAATATGGAAAAAAAAAAATCTCAAAACGACGTCGTTTTGAAATTTTGAGCCACTCGAGCAACGAAAAATTCGAGTTACGTAACAGAATTGGCTTAACAACGGCTAAGTCGTTGACAAAAAAGTCAGGAGAGTTTTAATTATTCGAGCATTATTGGTAGCTACAACAACCTAGAGAAGATTAAAAATTAAATGTAGGAGTCTTCCAGTAATTGCGGAGTTTAAGATATCGACAATCGTACCTAATATCTAGAAAAACATTATTTTAATAACTCAAACTTGTCATATTAAAAACACTAGTGACCAACTTTATTATTGAGTCAAGTTGCCCTTTCACCAAAAATGCTAATTATAACATGTATAGCTATATTTTTAAGAAACAAAAATTGTGTGATTGTGTGGGTAATTTTCTGACCACACTGCCTGCCTAGTAATCAGTTGGAGAGCACCGGCAGAATAGATGGCTTCAGCAAACCTGTAACAGAAAGAAAAAGGCTCCGGCGGTGGCTCTTGCACCCGGGGGCACTCCGACGATCAAGTCAGTATATCTCTCAAAGATAATCAAGTGCTAAACTCACAAGCTTGAGTATAAAACTGTGTACCTTAGACCCACTGGGGTGCCTCTCTTTTATAGTTTACTCAATCCAAGTCCCACTAGAAGTCTGACTTCTATGGACTCCAATTCAATGTCAACTTTGGACTCTTCAAGAGATAGAGATAAACTCCCTAAGAGCTTTATCCTTATCTTAGCAAAGTCTTCTCTTTTATCTAGGACTCTTGCCCCCTTATCCATTTATCTGCCTATCTCGGATTCCAATATCTTCGGAGATTACCTCGGCCTCGCCAAAGATAACCTCGGCATAACTACCAAGACACGTGGCACCTCAGCTGACACGTCGGCATCACCATGCCACGTGTTGGTATTCAGAAAATACATCCCCACAACTGCCCCCTAAGTTCTATTACCTCGGCAGTATCCTAAGGTGATGGAACCTATATCGATATTTCTTTCTGCATATTGGCTTAAAAACTGTTTAGCCGAGATCATTCATTTCAGGCTGACGTGTTCTCTTCGGAGAACAAGAACTCAAACAAATTCCCTCACGCGCATGAGCTGTCATGCATTTCTTCTCAACCGTTCCCCCTACGTGTTCTATCGTCATTGGCCCGTGTCTGTGACGCGCTTGTAAGCCATCT